AGAATTGGATCTAGATAGCACCATAAACCTTATATTTCCTATAAATTTATACATATTTTTTAAGGTTTTCTATTTGCATACATTGTGATAAATTTCAAATGACCTTACAAATACACATACAAGGTAACCAAGAAAAGGGCATTCATTTCCCCCTACAGAATATTGCCCCATGTTTCACCTTGCTGCTCTTTGGCAGATTCTAGTGTATACTGAAAAAGGGTTAGTAATGCAGCATGACTACGTGTAGTACTGTAGTTCTTAGTATCTTTTTCAATGCACTGTACAGTATTGTTCAAAGGTTTTGGGGAATAAATGCTTTAAATATGTTTTTTTTCTTTATTTTTATTTAAGGATGCATCAAAAGTGACTTTAAAGATGTTTAATATTACAAACTATTTACATTTCAAATAAACGTTGGGTCTTTTTAACTTCATATTAATAGAAAATCTGAATGAATCATTGTTTCAACCTAATTAGGCAAACATGCTATCAACATTGATAATAATGGGACTACACATAATAATAATAATAATAATATGACTATAAAAATAATGCTTAGAAAGCAAAACCAGACTATTCTAATGATTTCTGGAAAACTGTTACACTGAAGGCTGGAATAATAATGCTAACAATGAATATTTGCAGGAATAAATATATATTTTCATATATTAAAATAGAATAACTATTTTGACCAAACCCCATACTTTTGAACAGTAGTGTATATCTAAAAGAAATGTGTTTTATGAAGCGATCTTTACCAGTGGGTCTCCCTCTGTGTCGCTCTGAGAAACTTGTTTGGAGGCAGCTCCATCTTTAGAGGAGCTGTAACCATCATAACCCACATCCTCCGGCCGCAGCTGCAACAGTGATTGGCCTTCATGCTGAAGAGAGGCAGAGCTCCATGGGTAGGTGTCAATTACCCATTTGGAAGGGTCTTCCCATGCTGCCCTCTTACCATACAGCTGGAGCAATGATTAAATAAAAAAACAAAGGTTTTAGCTGCAGACTGTGAGAAACAAACACAGTATCTAGATGTGCTTGGTTGAATGTATACCTGCAGTCCTTCACGTACTGCTTCCAGTAGATATGGCACTAGAGAATAGTTCCACAGGTCAGTAAACCACACACGTGAGCCGTCTGCATCCATTGGACAAGACAGGAACAGTCGAGGCCCTGTAAGTGACATGATTAAATATTTTAAAATGATTGAAATAACCAAACTGAGTATGTAAAATGGAAAGTTCACCATAAAAATAAAATTGAGCACATAATCGTCAAACATGGCAGTACTAACATTTTTTTACATAATATAAATGTACATCATTTCAGCAATGTTTTGCTTATGCTACTTTACATTACAGCAGTGAAGCAAAAAACAGAACAGAGTGTAAAAAAAATTATCCCATGCGACATGTCATATGCAGTATTGTACCTTAAATTCTCAGGGCATGTATGATTTGGTGGGTCTAGTAAAAAACAAGAAAAAAAAAAACAAACAACCGAAACAAAAACTAAAAACTAAATGCGATGTACTATTCAACAAAAAATTCTTGTAAATAACTGTACAACAAGCAACTCACTCTGAAGCAACACAAAAACATGTTTCTTACAGTGGATAAATACACCTTTTGTGCTCATTGTAACATCGAGTTTGATTGAGCATCTTTCATCTGACAACTAAAGTTCTGTTATAAACGTGTTCAACTCAGTGAAGGACCTCCTCACTTTTTGTTTGGTATTTGAGCACTATTTTTTACTGCCATGTTAATGTGTTTAATGAATGCACAGTTCATTAAATTAATGAAGTCAATCACTATTGTGTACCTCTAATACTTGGAATTTACAATATGTGTCACATATAATTTTTCTAATCAGTGTTAATTTTGCCAATGAAAGTAAAGGCTAAAATGTTTGTTATCTATAGGTTTAAAATACACATAAACACTCTGAAACTCTGCTGCACCAGTAACATGCAGCACATGCGTTGATCTCCTCATCTGTTGTATCATATCTTTTAATCTTTTAAATATACACATATAATAATAAATACAATAAAAACATTCAAACAGACAAACAAAAACGAGATCCTCTGAACTATGCAGCAGCCCACCAGATTATAATAAAATGAATATTGGTTAGTTTTTTACGTTTATGACTACACTGTAGTTTTGTTTTTTTCAGTCATTAAATGCTGATGTATTCACTGTTGGTATCTAATAATATCTATGTCATCCCATTTTTGTCTTATCTTAATCTAGGAAAAAAGTTATTTGCTTCGCACGTATTTTTGTTGACCAAACTAACACAATGTTTTTCTATTTCACTGCATTATATGAATGGTCTTGAGCTGGAGTTCCTTTGAATTTTCTGCTTTTGTGGTCTGAATTGGGTCATCATCTCAAGGTAAAATAAGTTTCACTTTTGGGTGAACTATCTTTTTTGGCTTGTGTGCTGTGTGTATTACCAATTGTGACGTCTGAAGAACTGTGAGCCTCTAGGAAGGAATTGAGATGTTGCCAGATTTTGGGGATCCAGTCGATGATTTTGATGAGGTCATTGCTGCGCATGTTCTTGTCAATCTCTGTTTCAATCAGTTTTCTTCTCAGGAATCGGCCCAGGAAGCCTTTCACTGGCTCGGTGTGGTTGGCACACAGCACCCACCTGAGGAGACCATGACTGGAAATATCAGCTTGTGTTTGTGTCTTTGCATGCGCTAAAATGACAAATACATGAACACTGATGGCCCCCATGTGGTGAAAGGCTAGAATAACAACTATAAGAAGATGTTTTGTTCACATGAAAAAATATCAGAGCACAGTACCTGAAGTTGTGATGCAGCTCCAGGTTTGGAGATGAGGATACACCCTGGTTCATAGTTCCTATGACATAGGGGCTGTGGAATGAATCGTAACATTTAGATGAAATGTATTTATTTTGATGAGCTACAGTTGAAGACAAAACGATTAGCTAATTATTAATGATTAGAGTTATTAGAAACTTCTGTAAAATTTCAATATTTTTTTTTCAAATATTTTCCAAGTACTGTTTAACATAGCAAGGACAAGTTTCAGAGTATTTCCTATTATATTTATGTATTTATTTTTCTAGAAAAAGTCTTATTTCTTTTCAATCAAATTTATTTTTAAAGTCAATATTATTAGCCCCCTCAGGATTTTTTCTTCCCAATTAGCTAAAGAGCAAACAACTGTTGTTCAATCATTTACCTAGTTAACCTACTTAAGCCTTTAATTTGCACGTTAAGATAAATACTGATGCACCATAACTAGTAAAATAGCATGCATTGCCATCATTGTAGAGACAAAATTAATTAGTTATTAGAAATAAGTTATTAAAAGTATTATGTTGAACATATGTTTAAAAAATTTTGGAAAACAGTTGAAAAAAAGTTTAAACTTTCACAGAAAGTCTATTAAACTAAATGTATTCCCCTTTAAAGTACCTAATAAAGTGCCTGCTGTGATGCAACAGCATTTAACTATAATTGCTAAATATAAAGGTAAAAAGCACCATTTAATGAAATAAAAATGTAGAAAAAAAAAAGATTAAATAATAATCCTACTGAACGGTAGTTTGTATTCATAATAAAGCAGGTCATAACAAAGCTCACTTGATTATTTAATCAAAAGCTAAATATGTAAAAAAAAAAAAAAAGCTTAATAATGTGAGTCATCACCATTTGTGGTATTTGCAGTTGAGGAATCCATTAAAGATATCACTAAGCGAGCCAATATGATGGAGGTTGTCCAAAATAACTACAGTGGGCAGCTCAATCTCACACTCCTCTGTGTTGCACTGCTCCGCCAAGCTAGAGAGGTACTGTCGAAGATCCTGTTTTTAACAAACACAAAGCACATCTGTTTTACACATCTGCGCTATCATTATTCCAATATCAGGTTGACTTCCCTCAAAAAGTATTAACAAATAAAATGTTGGATCAACCAACCAATGGCAGATAATTGGAAAGTTTGGGAAACTTTCTGAAAACAATTATTTTTGCAATTCCATTTGTTGCCACAAATGATGCACCTTATGATTACTTCCCAGAGTAAAAAAACTCTACGTGCCTTGCTGGATTTCTGGTCTACGTTGAAGGTGGCCAGGTTGGTGTCTGTCACCTCTCGACCAGTCTTAGATAGGATAAAGTAGGCTAGTTTAGTGGCTAGGTAGGATTTGCCTGTTCCACTTGGACCAGACAGGATGATTCTACGATGCTCCATCAGCAGGTTTAAGTAGCGTTGAATGATGGGTTTAGGGATCAGCGTGTCAAACACCAAGTCATCAATACTACCCTCCTTCACACCTGCATAAAGAGACAGATATTAAGGGTTCACACTTGTAGTTTGGGTGTTTGTTTTGGTTTGGAACAACAACAACAAACATGATACATGTAGTCCTCGATCACTAGCAACAAATCACAATATTACTGGAGTAGATGTTTTAAGAATGAACCTTTGAGGTGAACTGATTGTCTTTAGATACATAATTTCTGTTCATTTTGATCCCTTAAGTATCATCTGCTGGCAGAAAGTGAATCTGTGTCTCATTCAGTTCATTTGCTGTTTCCTTCAGGTGCAGTGGTTGGCTTACATTTTAAATGGAAACGAGCACAAGCAAAAACCTTACTTTGTTTTTATGAAGTTATTTCTTTATTTCCCATAACTTTCTTCTGATTTCAGATTCGTTTTAAAATTTCAATATAGTTTCGCTATATTTCAATTTCACAAAGGAACATGCAGCAATAACCTGATAAAAGAACACATTTCCATTTACTATGAAATGTATTCAATCTCATTCTATGAAAATAATGTTAGTAAATTGAAATGTGAATTTAAACACATTCATTTATACAAAATGAAGATCTGTGGAAGGAAGACATATTCCCGATGCCTCTAGAGAGTGTCATGGGCAACATCATGAATATGATGATAAAAACTAGATATGCTTGAGCATTTGGAAAAGGACCAAGACACATGTTCATCTCAGTGCACCAGTGTTTGATGGGCATCTAGGACTAATTGGCAGCGTCTAATGGACCTACAATAAAGCTACATTTACACAACAATGATGTAGACAAAGTTTTTCCCTTCCATTTTAAATAGGTTTCACATCTATGTCTACACTACAATATTTTCAAAATTATCCATATTTATACAACCACAAAAAACACTGCATTAAATATGTCAGGCCAGTATTTGGTGCAGTCAACTTGTTAGTAAACAGTAGTGTAGTCTGCGGATCTGCACTCGTGTCTATGTACAATTTGCATTGTGTGTAATGTCTTTTGGTTGTAATGTGAAGTAAATCCACTCTTTGCTGATGAAGTGTTGGGAAACACTTGAGCAGAAACACTGTGCATGCTTGTTTGCACTTTTAAATTACACTTCCCAAAAAACCTTGTCATGTAAACAAACAGGGAAAACATATGAAATATTTCCCAATTTTGGCTGAAAATTTTGTTACCTCTATGAGGACCCTTCATGAATGTTTTGCAGTTCCTTACCTTTGAGCGTGACTGTGATAACATTGTTATCGCCGACCAGATATCCACAGGGCAACAGTTCAGGCACCTCAGAAGCGTGAGATCGAACCACATCCCCCATTCTGTAGCACACTATACTGTCTGAATTCATGCCCAGACTGGTCAATGGATCCACGCGAAACACATACTCCTAAAACAACCACAATTAATCTGTTAGACTTGAAGAATTGCATCCCAAATCTACATTTAAGTGAGCTAAACTGGCACCTTAAACAAGCGTCGTATTACTCCATCCAACACATCCCACTTGGTCTTGCCACTGACGCCAATGGACCCAATAAGATACTGCTTCTTCTGCATAGCCTTTGACGAGAAGAGAACATGAGATGTTGATGACTAGTTTCTATCAAAATAGCTACTGGAGTTAAAACAGACTAGTAAAAATCTCTCTGTACCTTGGTCTTGTTGGAGTCACTGTTGATGGTGACCACTATTCGGACGCTCCTGCCCTCTTTACGTAAGTTGCCCTCATAGCCGTCATCCAGCAAAATATCTGTGTACACACAAAAAACAAACTCACTGCATGACTAAAATATCAAAGGCTGAACAACTCATAGACTTATCGGCAAGTGAGTCATTGACTGTGCGGGAGAAGAACCTTTTCAGCGCTGACAAATTCACCAAATGGAGACGCTAATGTTCAGTTCTGACTGTAGTTAAATGCCGACTGCTTTAAGCTTTGTTGTCTGTAAGGCTGAGCTGTTTGGTATTAACAAGTCTTTGAATAGTGGAAAAAGGCTGTTAGTGGAGGAGTGCGGCTTTGATGGGTCTTGTATAGGGATCTTGGTGAATGGGCGGGAGGGAGGCGCTTTGTATTCGTCTGGCACGCCATTCTGCAGAGGAGTGATAACGTCCCTGCACCACACGTCTGCCCACGCTCTGGTGCTCCTCCACACATCTCACCATCAATTAAACAGGCCAAAGTCCTGAGAGAGTGTAGAAGTCACTACTTTTAATTAGCCCGAGCGCAGACGAGTCCTTGCCAAGCCGTTTCGATACGTGGCCACAGGCCCAGCGTACAAATCTTTCCTTACAGAAAAGAGGCCATTTCACTGTTCGTTGCGTTCATTCTCTTCCCGCACAGCTGTGAAATGGTCTTTCCCATGCCAGAGTTTTCATCAGCACCACTCCAGAATCATCAATAATACAGCCATATGCAAATCTACCCTGCAGTCCATGAGCTTGAGCACACTGGTGGAAAACCAAATCATCAGATTGAAAAATCTCTCTCTGTTGGAGACGTGATTATAGAAATTAAATTTGCCTGCAAAGGTTTTAATTGCGATCTCAACCTCGCAATGAAACATTGCTGCTTGTCCATGTGCCACCAAAATTTATTTAATAAAACTTCAGATTTCACCTTTGTTCGTTTTATACTTCTGAAATTCCCTAATGTTTTCAGCATTAAAAACTGTAATGATCATATTTATGTTTGAGGACAGTTTTCATTTCCAGCTCATTTTAGGTCGATTGCTCAGGGTTTAAATTTCAAAGTCTAAAGCTCAAGAAAGCATCTACTGTATATTTAATGTACATGGGATATAATTGTGCATCTCTTCATTTCATTTTATGTGTGGACTATAGTAAGTCAGCAGGGTGTTTAAAGACTCTCCGGCACACGTACTGTTGATTATGTATGAAATACTGGAGGTAGATCTTAAATAGTGTTTTAAAGGGTTTTATTAGGTTATTTTTAATGAAACACACTGTCATATTAAAAGTTTAAACTGTAATTACTTTTTAGATCTGTATAATACCTATCAAATATGATCATCATGATCACCAACTACCCAAGATAATGCATGTTGCTCTTTGTGTGGATCATGATTAAAAAGCAGTTGTTGACTCTAATATTAAATCGCTGCAGATTCAGCCTGTGATTAAGCACATAAACATTTTTCTAGCATTTTATTTTTTTCTGGTTTCTATAAAATAAAAAAATAAGAATCAGAAATCTGTATCAGAGTAGGCCAATTTGCTATTAAATGGGAAATCATGATCACTAGTAGCAACAACCATTGCAATAATTTAATGATACATTCTGAAATACAATTTTTAGACCCAAACAGCTTCAAAATTTTAAAACATGAAGCAAGGACTAACCTGACATAATGGTGTCGGTGATGTTGAGGTTGTTTAGCGAGAGCCCTAGAGACTGACGTGAGGATGAGGAGGACGTGCTAGAGGTTTCTGATGGAGGACGGGCTGTTTTAGCAGGTGTAGCAGCAGGTGTAGTGTTGCCACTGGACTTGAGTCTGTCGTTCTCTGCCTTCAGCAGCTCAATCTCATTCTGCAATTAAAAAAAAAAACATGTACAGTCAACACTAAAAATATATGTATAGTATCCAAAATTGAACAGAAACATGTGCAGTCCACATGTAGAATTCTGTGATAAAAAAAAAAAAAACTTTACATTCAAAAAAAGTTAAAAAGATTTTTTCCACAAACACAGTGAAATACACTTAAGTTAAGAAGATCAGCTCTTGCATTATGTTGCCTAGATTTCAAAACTTTTTCTAAAGCTTTTAAAGACTGTGTATCAGGCACACAAAAGATGAATAACTTTAACATGAAATTAAAGCAATTTTGTGCTTTTTATCGACTACTTTTGGTTCTTTCAAAACGACTGTAGTAAACTTCTCAAACATGCACTGCAAAAATGATTTTCTTACTTTTTACTCCAACTATCTAATATGTAAATTTAAATCAAGAAGCTTAAATCATTATTTTGTTTAGGTTATTTAGCTTGTTTAAAAAAAAAAACTCAAAACAATTCAAAAATGTACAAATGAGATAATACAAATTCATAGGAATTAGCCAATAAATCCAAAAGTTACAAATTGCTGTGAGACTACATTGAAATTATATGCCCCCCTCTGCTATGTGGATCCTCATATTTTGGTATTATATTAAAGAACCAATATTACAGTTTTTTACAATGGCTATGACACTTTTTTCAATACATTTAACAAGTTTGCTAAACTCTTAACGCAGCAACACACCTAAAATACACAATTGGCAAAACAGTTAATTTTATGCTCAAAATCACACATTATAAACTAAACCTCTAAACTACTTTTCAAAATACAATAATAAACTAACACACTACACCATGTCTAACAAAACACTGCAAACATGTTCCAAAATGAAATTATTGTTCAAAACACAAACACATGTTCTCTTCCAACATAAACATTCAGTCAATCAGAACACACTGACAATAAAAACACTATCATCAGCTAAAATTACAGAAACTGCATTAGTTTATGTGTCAGCTCTGCCCTTATATTTGAAGTCTCGTTACAGTTTTGTTTCATTGGGTTACGTAAATGCATGCATTTTCTTTCGTTTTCGTTGTCTTGTAAACTCTATACAAAACGAAGAAAAAAAATTGCTTTATAAAATTTACAGTTTATGTAAAAAAAATACAGACATAGAATTTCTGCAGTACAGACTTTTTTTTGCAGAAGGACATCACTGCAAACAGGAAAAGCACCACAATTATAATAAAATAACAAAGTAATCTTCTATACTGCCCGGTCTTTTGCCACATGTTCTCATCCACATTATACTTGATATCTTCTGAGGCCCGGCACGGTAACTGTGGCCCTTTGGCCTATTATGTTTTTCCTACGGCGACATCCCCAGCCTTTTCAACATTGAAAATTTCATGTGGTACTTGATTGGCCTCTAACTTCATGACTCTCTGAAAGTAATTAGACACAGTGTATGCAAATGCTGTACTGTATATGTACTGTATGTACTAATGAACTCCAGGTTTAAAGAGTAGTTTACTGCAAAACACACTGTGTAATCTTACATGGACGTATTGGTGACAAAGTTTTTTAATGCGCTCACTGTTCCTTTCAAAAACCTCAAGAGTCCTCTTTTAGAACATAATCATGTGATTGGAAAAACCAAAACAAGACATGAGTGTGCTTTCTAGATGGGAATCAGCTGTCATATATATATATATATATATATATATATATATATATATATATATATATATATATATATATATATATAGATATAGATATAGATATAGATATATATATATGAGAGACTACATTTATTTATTTATTTATTTATTTATATAACAGCAATATGCTGTTTCTCATTGGCAATTAAATAAAATACAGGGAATAAACTTGTGTTTCAATTCACAATTAGAACAGCTGTTCACTTTGACTTTATCCTATATAATTTCTGTTTAGAACATGGTGTTATTTGTTCTGACATACTGTGTTAAAGCATTTGTAAATTGGACTGTAAAATTACATTGTTTTGTTCTTGGTTGTGCTTGTGTGTAAAAGAAGTTAAAGCATTTTAAATTTGTGTTAACTGGATGCATTTTGTGTCAAAACAACAAGAAATGTGTTAATTGTATAGCCCACGAAGACGGATGTTGTGCTAACTGTGTTAAGAGTTTAGGAAACTTGTTAAATGTATTGATAAAAGTGTCATAGCAATTGTAAAAAACTGTAAGATGTTCAAAACTTGAAGCATGATCAGCACTCATTCCAATCTGCCAATAGGGGGCACTGTGGCTAACAAATGTAAGAAACTGCTCATAATAAAGAGTCAAAATATGATTGAAATCCTAGACTCATTATATATCCATCATGTTATTTTCCGATTTGAGTTTTATTAAAATAATTAGTATGGCACATATGTTCTAATTTCTAAATCTTTCTATAGATTTTTTGTTCGACTGAAAACCAAAACAAGGCCTCTGCACAAAGATTCACTCGAGTCTGAATATTAATATTTACCAAAAAAAAAAAGAGAGAAGAGAGGCCCTAACATAAGGTTGCAGGGTTCTGCAGTGAGTCAGCATGTATAGGCGGGTGTATTTTTGTACCTGCATGCGGTTCATGGCTTCTCGTATCTGGTCAAGGTGGTGAGCGGAGCTTAACGCCTCCAGCCTGATATCAGTGAGCTTCAGCTCCTTCTCTCTCAGCTCGTTCTTCAGCTGGAGGATAATCTCAGCCTCGGCTTCTGTACATTCACACAGTCTGCACAAACACACAGCGCACAGGGAAGGAGGGGTCACAACACTGTTACACACCCAAGAGAGCTACAAAACACAGGCGGGTTTAATACACAACAAACTGCGGGAGAATTAGATGTGGTCAGAATATGTATATAAACAAACTTAGAAGTACACATATTCACACTCAAGCTTTGTGGTTTATATTTGTGAGGGGCGTCTGCTGCATTCTATTCAATAGTGGGTGTGAAATAATAATCCTTAAGTGTGTTCTATTGTTTGATGCTTTGAAGAATAATTTATGATTTATGAAAACAAAATGACGTACATTTTAAATATAAGTTTATGATATGGATATTACCATGTTAGCCTGACATTATTCTGACACAATTTGACTTGTGGTTTACCTATTTTCTTACTTACCTACCTACCTATCTACCTACCAACCAACCAACCATCCAACCATCCATCCATCCTACCACTCATCCTCTAATTACTACCACCCATCCTCTAATTCCATTGTTTAGAGAAAACCCAACAGCACTTCATATTCTAATCAAACTATAGCAAAAGGCTCAGTTATTTGATTAAAATATATAACTGAAATCTAGGAAAGCAATATCTTTTGTTAATCAAATCTAGCTTTGCCGATTTTAGTCACTGCACACTCTCAAGCCTTCCCAGCATGCCACACTGTGCCTGTTACCGAGATCTGTGCTTGTAGACCACATGACCGTTTGACTTTTTCTTTGGCATCCAAATGGGGGAGGACTTGCTATCACAAAAACACTTTCTGAAGACACGGAAGTGAGGAACAAGGGCAGAATACAGATATGATTAAAGGATAGGATGAAATAAAAATATGATTATGGAAAAAGAAAGAAAGCAAGATGTTATGTAAGTCAAGCAAAATCACAACAAAGCAAGCAATACAAATCTTTGAAACATACTTAGATGCCTCTGGTGATAAATGTGTTGTATATGTTATTAAATGCTTGGATATTTACATGATATTTATATGACTACTATACTACTAAAGACCTTAAAAGCTGTAAATGAAACCATTAAAAATGTACAATTATTAAACCAGTTTATAAAATGTATTCGCAATTTTTAGAGTGCAAATTGTTGACAAATTGTAATCTTTGCATATTTTTTGTGCATTCTTTATTGTTTGTATATGTATAATTGTGTGTCTACTCACTCTGTGGTGGACGGTGATGACAGGAGTGGTTGGGGAGAGCTGGCTTGTCTGCTGATGTGTAGTAGTTTGGGTGAAGAGGGGAGGGACGAATCGGTCATCTCTTCAATCTCATCATGGGATGATTGAGGCTTGTTTGTCTTCTTCTTACTGAAGGCCTGCTTGAAGGAGCTGCGCAACTGTGAGAAATAAACACAGATCAATATAGTTATTATAGTCAGACAGCATTTTTTCATATCAAACCATTCAGCAGTCAGCAGTCAGAAAAAAATGGATTTTAAAAAATTAATAGCTTAGGAGAACTCCAGTAACATTCCAGTAACAATATAACAAATTAAATTTTTTTAAAAGCACGCTCAATCTCTCCGGTCAATAACCACAGAAAATAATTCTAACCTTACATTGAAAAAAAGTAAAATGTAGAAATGAACTTACAAAGTAAATCTGTTCTACAGCAGTCAACATTTGAAGTTGATCAGAAAAGTTTTTCAAAGTCAAAAATGGGTGTACTGCATACACAAGATCCATATTTTTACATACAAAAGTGTCACTGATATTCAGAGTTTAGTAGTGAGTCTGGTAAACACATTCCATCTCCAGTTATTTGTCAGCTTGAGATAAAGGTGTTTGATATGTTAGACTTGAGATAAAATGAGCTGATCATAACATTCTGAGAGGATAGATAATGTCTTGCTCGTATAGTTTACTGTACAGAACTAATTAAGCAGCAGAAACAGACTGGCAGTCATTGGGACGAGGGATGCTGATGACATGCACACGTTTCAATGGAAACATTTAGGATTCAGGGGTGCAGGACAGTTAAGGGTTTAAGGTTATCAGAGGGCGCAGTGATGCGGGACGTGGAAACACTGACCTGGGCAGGGATGGAATCAGCCACCTACGGACAAAACATACTCACTGTTACCACTGACTGAAAAGTTCATCGCTGGACCAGAAAATTCTGACACAGCAGCATCATTTATTTATTGTTCAGTTGATTAACTCTGGATGATTCATGGAGGCTGTGTCTAGACAATTCTTCATAACATAATTTGACAGGAAGTCTATTTCCTCCTCTTCCTTGACATCAGTGCGCTCAACAATAAGGATTTTTGTTCTGACATATTCAGTCCAGTGATTGTACTTGCATAGATAATATTTGCACTGGACGTACAAAAAGCATATTACATTTTCAATGCATTTCAAGGAATAGTATTTAAAAAAAACAAAAACAAATATAAATAATATTCATCAAATTTAATATAAAATGTCAAGTACTTTCTAAAGCTTGATTATTAAATGTTTTAAGATTGTCAACACATAACAGCAAGTTGCTAGCAAGTTTAAGTATTTAGCTACATGTAGCATGCTAAGATGTTAAGCTCCTTTAACATTTAAAATTTGATTATGCTCCTAGCAGGTTGTATTAGGTTGCTAGCTTTGTTTAACATGTTTTGGAGATGCTAACATATTTGGGAAGGTTACTATAGTATGTTGGGATGCTCATAACATTTTTAAAAGCTGTTAGCATGATCACATGTTCTGTTATATTGTAGCCATGTTTTAGCACAGCCAAGGCTAGCTATTATCCTTTGCAAGTTATAGTATTGATCGAAATTTTAACGATAATATAGTATATGCAAGGAAAATCACCCACTATTTACTTATTCACTTAATATTTACTTGTTAGGCATTCTGAAGACTGTTGATGGATGGTACTATACTAACTTTAACAATAAAATCCAATGTAATTGTATCAACTGTTTGATTAACTTTCTTCAAAATACCTACTCCTGTATTTGACATAAGATACATACAGGTTTTGAACTTGTGGATGAGTGAATGATAGCAGAATTAATAAATGCAACTCTCGCAATTCATCCTTATTCTACAAGCCTTGTCTCACTCCCTCTCTTGTAATTGTCTTTTTTTTTGCTGTCTTTCAGCAGCATTTCCAGACAGCCTGAAACAAGAGACTCCAATGCCTCAGATTTTGCAGATGAATTATTAATGGGCACATAAATAAAGACTTGAATTGTTTGTTATGAGCTCTGTTTGAGCTCTGCTCTCATTACAAGAGTCTAAGGCCAGCTTGAGGAAAAGTAGCCATAACTGCTGCTCACATTTCCAATGCTATTTCTCAAACAGCTGTTTACCTCAAGTGCTCTTGACTTAATGCACAGCCTAAATGAGAATAAACAACAGCCCCGCAAGCATCAGGAGATAATAAATAACTGTGAGTCAACTAGAACAGCTGACTAGGAGTAAAACATGCACAATTGCATCCTAACAACAAAAATATATCACAGGTAATGACTGCAACCTGAGCCAAAACGCTCTTAATTAGTGCATTCCTCAGACAAGGCATCAAGATATGATGTCCAGAGAGTAAAAAACTGAAGGGTTCAAGGAGGTTTAGGGGTTTGGAGGGCCACTGAGGGAAATAATGGGACGAGCATGTGGAATCCTCCATACGGGCATGCAGGAGAGTTTGAGGGGTGTTATAGTCACCTTGTGTCCTCTATCCTTGCCCTGGTGGTGTGGTGAGAAAGTGAGAGACAGAGAAAGTGTGAGAGAGGGTGTGAAAGAGGAAGAGACAGCCGGAAGGGGGTGAAATGACAGAAATGTTTGTGCTACGCGTTCTTGATGCTCCCAATTTGGAAACTGTGTGAGTGAGGAGACCACAACTAGAATGATGACTGGATTAAAGCTGATTCATCAAAGAAGAAGCAATATTTTCAATACAGTATATTGACTGTTTATTAGAACTTACAATGCACATATCTATTATATATTCTTAATCCTACCCAATATTTGAACCTAACCACTAGCTTACCAAAAAATTTGGGGTTTGTTAAGTTGTTAGTTATTGTTTTAATAAAATGATGATAGTGTGACCAAAACTTGATCAGAATGATGACAAACTTGTCTCTGCATTTTTGTGTAATTTTGGTTGTTAGTTTCAAGGTTTTAAAGACAGCCAACAAATGCTAAAAGCTCATATCTAGATAAATATCTATGGCTTTTTTTGCACATATAGTTACTTTGGCAATGTCAAGGTCATGAGATTTGAATCCCAGGCAAAGCAAAATCTAAATGTTTACCTTGAATGTTTGCCTTTGATAAACATATAAATATGGAATATGTCAAACGTGATTATGTCAGAGAGGTTTCAAAATAAATTGCTGGCACTTAGTTATATGCAGAAAATTGCATATTTATGTAAAAGTTTGAAAAATAGATTTAACTAGTGCATTATTAATCCTTGGATATACCGCTAAATATACCGTTATAGCAACTAGGATGATTATTTTTTTGTTTGTTTGTTTTTTATTATCTTTGTTAATGTTATTTAAAAAACAGTGTTAAGTTTTAGCTCTTATAGGTTTAGGTGCAAAAAAACAATACAAACAATCCTGTAAATGTTGAAATTAACACAAACTCAAATGAACAAATGTTAGACTTACAGTATTGTTTTAAATAATGTGGTTAACTAATATGTAACCACAGTATTTACTTAATTATTGTACATTTATGGTTATCAAAAAACATTAGGAACACAAAAACGACTTTAAAGAAGATCTTAGCCAGTAGCTCTCTTATCTAACGAAGTGACATACATATAGATATGGTGGCTAGTAGTTATAATATTGTATAGTGATATAATAATATTATAAAATAATTAAATAATTAGAATATTTTTGCAAGCCCCCCCTCCCAAATGCTGTGTTGTTTGATCCCAGTTGAAGTCATCTTTCTAAACGTGGATGAGTCTTATGGTGTGATGGTGATGAGGAAGATGAAGCCTCCTGCACTGACTCACCCAGCTTTTCTTCTTTTTCTTCTTGTCCTCTGCATCTTTAGCACTACCCAGACTTGAGTGACTGGCTGCACTGTTAATACTGGACATACTTTCTGACGAGTGCTGGCGGCGGATCCTCAGGTCTGCTAAACACACACATATATGTTAAAGATGAAAAAGGTGCTTTCAGAAAAGACTTCAAGTAAAACTGGTACTTAAAGTATCAATATTTAAACTGGTTGATAAATGAAGTAAATAAAGCTATCCTCAGCTAAGTAAACTGAATTGTAACGAAAATGGTAACCTCACCCATTTGTCTTTGTTTTTATTCATGTAATGTATTTTTTTTCTTTGCACAATTCTATGCACTGAAATGTGTGGTATGAATGTATGATGTATCCATTGTAGCTTAGTGCAAAATACAGAATAAATGTGATGCCTATGTTAATTTGTTTAGGTTATATATATAAAAAATTATATACGTAAACATTTACTGTATTTATTTTTTACTTATGTTTTGCTAAAAGTTGTGTTTTAGCTGCAAAGATGTAAATTGAAATCATGGGAGTTACATTTCCTATGATCTGTGCAGTCTAATAAAAAGTCAGCAAGTTATAAAACACTATTCTAGTGTTTTTGGGATATTGTAATAAAATAAATCACACATACTATGCCTTTAGATTGTTATATGTACAGTCAAAGATGCACAATCCCAAAAAAATGTAACGATGAAAAGATTGATGATCTATTGCAAATAGTGCAGCAATATATAAAGCAAAACCGGCATATACATTTACAAATTCAAACTTGAACCTATTGCAAAAGTGTGGAAATTTTTTTAACCCTTTTTATAAATTCCCAATTCTTTGAATTCCTATGGAGTTGAATCATTTTACCCAAAAACATGTGTAACCAAAACTGATGGACCAAAAAAAGACCATTTTCTTCAGTAATTGTGAAACAAAAAGGACAGAAGCAGTACCTCTATGAACGTGATCAGGACCATTAAGGGCCACTTGAATGGCCGTCTGAGCATCTGTGTTCTGAGTTTTCAAAGCCTCAATTGTCTCTCTCAACTCCGCCAGCTCAGACTCCTGCAACACAAATAAAAACAGATATTCAATACAAACACAAAACACTTTTTATCTCGACTGCTTACAATTGTCAAATCTTCCTAGGAAGCCATAGTTAGGTATGAATTAAACTGCTTGAATCAGATGGATTTATTTTTAAAAAACCTTTTTTGTAAGGTGTAAACGGTTTTGGGTGTACAGCTTTTAGTGACAGAAAACTAAAATATCTTAATTTGTGTTCTGAGCATGAATATATTCTTCATGGCATTTGAATTGAAAGTAAATGTAAATGTGTATCTTTACTACGAAATCTTATGTTGCACAAGCATATTTTGGATAAAGCAAAAAAAAAACAAAAAAAAACAACAACAACAACAACAACAACAACAAAAAAAAAACATTGTATAGATCAAAATGAAAAAAAAAATTGAATGTTAAGTAAAAATCATCTTCCATGATTTAGTAAATTTCTAACTGTAAATATATCAGGTTCATTTTTTTGGTTAGTAATTGTGCATTGCTTAGAGAAATGGAGAAACTTAATACCTAGAAGGCCACAGCTCTGCACAGTTTAGCTTCAACCTCCTCCAACTCAGACCTGCTTAATCATCTCTTATAGTCTTGAACACCTTGATTAGTTGAATCAGATTTGTTTGATTAAAGTTGGAGCAAAATTGTACAGAGCTGCGGCCCTCCAGGAATCTAGTTTGAGACCTATGGCTTAGAGCTTCATTTAGACAACTTTAAAAGCCAATTTCTTAGTATTTATATATTTTTTTAACTCTCAGAGTCCACAGTTTCATGTTAACATATCATCCAAATATTTCCTTATCATAATAAACCATATATTATTGAAAGGCTTATGTATGTATGTATGTATGTATGTATGTATGTATGTATGTATGTATGTATGTATGTTTTGTGTTATGATAGAATATGCATTCTAAAGTGAACTAATCCGTTAGGGCAATACTTCAAAATGGAACACATAAGGTTAGAGGTTTGGTCAATTCCCAAATCCCTAAATATGCAAAATAATATTCATGATGCTAGCAAACATTAGTATTTAAAATATGTCTCCAGCATTACTTCAGAATCACTAGACAGGAAGTGAACCACATGGCACCTCAATTTTTGACCCCACACAAACTCTTTTGTATGCAAAATGCAAAGTCGCTTTCAAACCGCCAGCTGTCGTATTCCTCTATCAGATGTTTCCTGCCGAAAAAAGCACATGTGGAGATAAGCGTCCCGCTGATCTGAGGAACTGAGCATGTGTTGCAGCCTCCAACTCTCCTTTTCCTCTAGCACACGTCGATCAGTGTTTTCAGAGCTCAGCATTTTTAAACTTGCGATAGTGTTTGGGCTTTAATTGAAAGTCAGGCTGCTTTAACAAAGACGTTTTCTGTAATCTCTGGTGCTTAATTCAAGAGGGATTAACAGTTGGCAGAAACTCATTAAGTCGACAGAGTTGCTTTGTGCAATTAAAGAGGCAGTTTCACATTTTAATCTGAAGGTTACATTTACATGATGACTGGATGTTTTTGTTGATTGGAGGTTGAAAGAATTGACTTTGGTAAAAATGTGCTATTAAATCTCACTGAAATGTTACTGTACACAATTGTGTGTGCATGTGCTCGTTGTTACCTTTTGCTCTGCTGTCATTGTTAGACTCTGCAGGCGACAGGTCATGTTCGCCAGACTCTTTTCAAATGCTGCCACCAGGTGTGCCTGTCAACACACACACATGCACAGTTCAACACAAAGTTCTTCACTAGATCCACACAAAATCATTTTTTGTGGCATCTGTGTTTCCATGAAATATATGTGTTATACACAAAATAGCTCACCAAAAAAATAAAAATAAATAAATAAAATAAATGAAATAATAAAATCTCCAAGGTTCAAGTTTATCAAATTTAAGTCAACATGTAATCATCTAAAAGCAAAGTTTGCCATCTACAACGACCAAATACTGTAGAATTCCACTAAAACTTTATGCATTGCATAGAATAATTGAAAATGTTAGCCATCATCTGCATCATAACAAAACTTGCAAGTAATTAAACCTATTTTTTTTTATGAATATAAATTATTTTGTTCTATACTGTATATCTTTATGCTTGTATTGGTCTGCATGACTGATTATATATTTTTAGATCTGAACAATCAGCAGGTTGTAGTCTGAACTATAAGTAATATATAAAACATAAAAAATTACAATTGAATTCATGCGACAATAATTCTTTTTTAAACAAATAATAGTTAAATCAAACAGTATCTGCATTTCCTTAGTTTCTGTTTTTAAGATTCCTGTTTAATTAGCAAAATAATGGCATGATAATGTGAAAATGTTTTTGCTATTAAAAACTTACTATACAAATAAACAAACATTACAGATTCTCAATTTGGATTTTCTATATGGGTGTGTGTTTGTGTGCGTGTGTGTAGAAGTTTTGTCAAATTATGTTTCCCACAGGCTTTATTTTATTTACAAATTGAAAAAAAAAACATTATAAAACTCCACAGGAGAACCTCAAGGAAATCTGCAGTGAAGCTCTGCTGCATCCTCACAGCACACACAATCTATACTGAACAGTATGCTTGTTCTACAGCAAACTTAGTAAACAATTCACACAGACTGCCTTTCTTTTAGCTGCACATACTACTGAAGCCAATAATGCAAATGAAGTGCGGTGTAAAACAAATGTAAGCAAGGGCGAGACCAACATTATAGATTCACAAATCTATTAAGACTATTCTTGTAACTTGAAGCACTCCAGAGCCTCCAGAAAGTTCCCCCTGGGTAGCCGTGAGGTACGACGGAAAGCTGAACGCTGCTGCAAACTCCTCAACAGTCAGCCTGAGCTTTGAAGCATGTTTCAAGTTTAAGCTACTGAGATGGAGTTCAAAGAATAGCAATGTCTAAAGCTTGTCTGAACATGAGGCCGCAGGGCTTTGGTGGAGGAGAGACGTCTCTAAAGCTGACCTCAGCTCCACTGACAAGACTTCGGATCACTTTTCTCATGTCAATGTACGCTGAGGAGAACATAGATACTTACGCAACCAGATATAGATTCTTAAAGGGATCAAAACTGAAAATTCTGTTACCATTTACCCATCCTTCAGTCCACACAATCTTATGGAAATTACCAAGTAAATTAAACTATAAAACTATTGGCTCAGTGTTCTCAAAAGCTGACAAAAAATTTAAATAATTTTTTTTGTTAAACATCTGACCATTGAATCCAGGTCATGTAATCGGTGTTATTAAACTGTGAACTTAACATCTGACAATTGAATCCATCTCATGTAATCAGTCTAATCAATCTGTGAATTTAACATTGCTACCACATCTGACCATTGAATCCAGCTCATGTAATCTGTCTAATCAAACTGTGAATTTAACATCTGACCATTGAATCCAGCTCATGTAATCTGTTTAACCAAACAGTAAATTTACCATTTCTAGCGCATCTGACCATTGAATCCTACTCATGTACTCTGTCTAATTAAACAGTGAATTAACATTTTTAGTGTATCTGACCATTGAATCCAGATCATTATCTAATCAAACGGGGAATTTAGCAATCACAGTCAGTGTAGTGAATTAAAAACAAAACAATTATTTTCCTAAGTATTTTCAAAAGGAGGCAACACAAAGACACAGAAACTATAGTATACTGGATACCTGAGGTGCTTTTATTTTTTATACTTCAATTTGCCAGCCTGGCCTGCATGGCTTCCATTTTTTTTTAGTTTTGTCAGTAGTCAGTGTATTTATTGTTTATTAGCAAAAAAAAAAAAAAAGATGTTCTGAAACAATATAGTTTGTTGACATCTTTATTGTTATAGCTGTCATCTAAACTCTGCTGTTGTTTTATATTCTGATTACATTTAGAACAATGTCTTTATGGTTATCTTCGCTGCTATTATCCTTGTGTGAAAGGGCCTTTAGAAGTTACAACAAGATAATATAATAAATAATAAATGACATAGGAAATACAAAAATAAGATAAACACAGCTATGAATTTAAGTTCTAATGCCTGAGATTATGAAATATGACTGTGTTTTATTATTTCCTTATGAGTCAGCAGAGGTGTACTCAAAAGGTTTGTGGTATATACTATTTAAAAGCTAGCCAGGAAGTGAAGCCAAGCGAACATCTAGAGGCACAATGCCAAATGCTTGAGTGACTGTAATGGGAGAAAGCCTCTATAAACACACTTTACGATATGCTCTGCCCTGACCTGTTTGTCCATCCATTTATATTCCTCCTCTGCCCAGTCAAGCACACCTGAAGCAGACTGCACTTCCACAAACCACAAATCTGATCTCAACAAACATATGATTTTAAGATATTATTATTATTACATTACAGATTTACAGCTGCAATTTGAAGATTTATTTGTTTAGATCAAGATATAAAGCTTTAAAAAAAGATTATATAGAAGCTTAGACTTTCGAGTTTCTATATATACACCAACATATTATAAACTGTACAAATAAACTTCACAACTTCACTTACACTAATACAGGAAGCTTTTTTAGCTGTGTTATTTAAGGAACAACTCTTTTCATCTTGCTGTACAAATTTATTTTCAATTATTTTCATCTTTGGCTGTGGATTAATCTTGCAAGGAGTCAAACACAGAATGTTTATTTTTTAGGCATGTGATTGGCTGTTCTATGAACTCATGATCAAAGCCAGGGTTAACTTGGAAAGTTGATAATCAGTGTGATGGTACCAACAAAGGACTGTACTGAATCTCTTACACAAACACACACCAGACTGAGGCATTAACCGGTAAGTTTGTTAAAACTTACAACTGGGTAAGTTTGGTAAAAACTATTTTTTGTTTTTTGTTTTTTTACTTTTCCTCAATTCACTTGCAGTGTCTTGCATTGAATACAAATTACTAAATGCTTTTTTAACAGATCGTATCTATATTGCTATTTCATGATTTTTCAATAAACCATCATTCTGTAGAGCCTAAGAATCCAACAAAACAAAGTTTCTTCAAGAATCCCTGAATATCAGCTTTCAGAAGTTGTTCCGACACCGAAAAGTTAAAAGGAAGTGTCAGGAGAGCAGACATTTCAATCCACTGTTCTATTGTAGGACGTGAACAGATGTAGTTCTCCTGTCAAAGGGAGCTCAGAGAGGAGGTGGAGTGTAGAGCCGCTGCTGTCTCATGCTCCGTCACACTCGTCACTAAACTGTCAGAAAGCCAAAACCTTCATCACACCTGCCCTCTAGAGCTCTGCTGGCTCAAACCTGCTCTCTCAAATCTACTGTTTCAACCGTGGAGACATCAAGACTTCTGTTCAGATGGGTCCATAACTGAGTGTTTAGTTTATTTTGACAAAGCAAATTCCCAAACATACTGTTAATTTACAGTCTATTTCGAAAAATCATTACTGTGCATAAATAAACTTTGTTAGCTTTTATGTCATTATATTATATTATATTATATTATATTATATTATATTATATTATATTATATTATATTATATTATATTATATTATTTAAAAGTTTTTGACTGTTTAAAATCTAAATAAATTAGTATTATATTATTAAGTCAACTATTGCTAATTAACTAATACATTTTAATAAATACTTCTGTCTAACAATATTAACAATTCTGGTATTAAAGTTAATCATATTATATTAGTCCTAGCCTTATATTTATTATTTTACAAATTCTTACTCTTATTCTTTCTCACTTTCATGTTATGCTCTTGTAAGAAACATTTAGCATTTAAAATATATTTATTTTGATATTTAAATATATTTTGCAATATAAAAACATCTTATATAAAATATTATTGTTATATAATAATAATAATAATAATAATAATAATAATAATAATAATAATAGTCAACATTTAAAAGGTGACGTATTGGGAACTTTTGTAAATTCAATAAGCTCTTACTGTGTTACATTTAACTTTATTGTTACAATTTTTTTTTGCATTCATATGGTTCTTTTGTGATTTATTTGAATATACCTTTGTATTTTTATTTTTTATATCAACATCAAAGATTAATAAAAGATTATATAATCTTCTTGGACCGCAGCATTGATATATACTATACTCAACATATAAGCATTCTCCATTTAAACCACCAGATGAGCTGTATTTCATAGGCTTTTGCCAGTTTTTCATAGTTTTCTGATGTAACTCACGTTGGCCGCCAGCTGTGAGGTCAAAGTCGCCACTTTCTCCTGAGATGCATCCAGTTCTCGCCGCAGTTTTCTGATTTGCTGTAGTAAAAGAATCGGTTTCTCATTACAAAGCTCCATGAGCTGCACACTTAAGCAAACAGAAAATAAATTGCTCTCATTTTCCTCGCTTAACAGTAACAAAAAGGCCTAGATTTCAATCAGTGGCCTGAGGTAAGCTCAAGACTTTCAAACACTTTCCAGAGTTTTTTTTTGTACTAAACAAGAAGAGAGTGTATATGAAAAGAGAAATTACCGTCGTATTCTGGACAGTTTGGCCCTTGATTGAGAAAAAGAAAAGTACATTTAACTCTATGTTGCATATTCATATACAAGAAGATACAATTGTTTAGTAGTTATGTGATACAAATTATACAAAAATCTACAGTCTTGGAAAATATGTCAACAGGAAAGAGAACACTGATTGAACACACAAAAAAACTGTGATAAAATGTGTCCAAATCTGTGTGTGTTAAAGATGTTTGTCCATGACTGTATATGTGCCATAGACTAAAACTGAGTGTCTCAAATTGTAAATTAATGCAAAATATTCAAATTTCAATTAAAAAACATACAAATTGTTGCAAGTAATAGTGCAAATATGTTATATTATATTATATTATATTATATTATATTATATTATATTGTAATAACTTTCCTGTTTAACCGCTTATTTTTAAATAATAATAAATTATTAATATTATTAAGACAAGGTAATAACTACAACTAATTAATTTTATTAACTATTCCTGTACATTAAAAGTACTCTTGCTTTTAACATATTCATAATATTATTCATATTCTTATATCTATACTTTTATTGATGCTTATACTTTATAATATTTCTACGTTTGTTATTTATCAAGTCTTTCTAGATAAGATAACATAAATATATATATATATATATATATATATATATATATATATATATATATATATAGATAGATGATAGATAGATAGATAGATAGATAGATAGATAGATAGATAGATAGATAGATAGATAGATAGATAGATAGATAGATAGATAGATAGATAGATAGATAGATAGATAGATAGATAGATAGATAGATAGATATTCTTTTATTTTTTATTTTTAAATGTGTAGTTCTTTCAGGCTATAGTTTAAAAAATAACAGTATACAAACTGCATATACAGATTACATGTTTACTTTAATAAATTATTACATATATACTGTATTTAAAATATATAATAATATGAATAATGCATGAAAACAATATATTCTCACCTCAGAGTGAGCCTTCTCCTCCGTCTGTGGAAGAAAGAACAATTAAAGGATACAAAAATGACAATATTATGAAAAATGACTTGTCTATGTGTACATAATCATCTAAAGTACTAACATTGTTTTCCTTTTAGATCCAATAAAACACAATTTAGAAGCCAAAATCCACACCAGCTCTTTGCAAACACTTAAAGGTAAATCAAAAAGCCATACACAATAACCAATGATCATTTGTGTCAGATTTGCTGGTTACCCGTTAGTAGAAGCTGATTTGAAGCCAAACGTTAGACTGTTAGGTATTTGCATTTGTTAAAAAAAAAAAGGTTAAGAAGGATTTCTGCATGACGAATTACCTTGTCTAAAAATGCCAGCACCTGAAAGTAAGAAAATGTGTGTTCAAACATTGGCAAATTCACAATACTGAGCCTGTGAGGTGAGTAAAACTACCTCTCCAAATCATTAGTCTTCATTCATAGCTTTGATGAACAGTGGATGTTATGTTTTCAGATCTGATGACTTTTTTAAAGTTATTAGTTTGTCAAGCTCAGGCAAATGGAAACAGGATGTATGATGTTACTGTTATTCAGTGACTAGTAGTTAAAGTTGATGAATTTACTGTGACGCTTAATATAGGAAGCAAGACTCAAGCAAAGAATGTGTATGTATTATGTTTTAAAATGAAACCCAGTTATAAAATGAAAAAAAAAAGAAAAATGCATATATACATTTAAATGTGGAAAAAGTTATATGTTTTAGTTTAGTTTAGTGTTTAGTGATCTCCAACAAATTCATAAAACTTAATGTATTAAATATCTTTGACATATAAAAAGCTTAATAAATGAGTAAATTGAAAAGCCAGAGATTTACATATTACGAATATACATGAATTCCCTTCAGATACAGTTTTTACATTCAATTCTGTATTTCATATAAATTTATGTACTTTAGCTATTAATAAAATTGTAATTTTAAAGGTCTTCACACCACACACAAACACACACACACACACACACACACACACACACACAAAAAAACATTTAAACAGAATTTTACTTTGTTTACATCAAATTTAAACTTGAATAGTAAAATGTGTCAAGATTTTCTTTCATTTGGTAGTTTAGAAGAAAATGCACATTGAAAACATCAGTTCTGTCTTGACTATTCTGTTTCATAAAGCAAAACTTAGAAACATTCATATAATACAAATCCAAAATAATCTATAGTCAGTCTGATTTTTAGGAGGAATATAATGTCACTCACCGCTGAATATAAAGATGATGTGCTTGAGACCAAAGACAGAGAAGAACCATGGACTGCAGACAAAACAGAACGGCAAAACAAAGAAATATATATCATTACTTTAGGAAACAGAATGGAATCCACCAGAACAACATTACAAAAGTTCTATATGAGAATTCTGAGCTCTCACAACTTTTTTAGTTGAAGTTTTGACATTATTATACTTTATTGCACTTATTTTTCCCTCAGAATTCTGTTTTACATCACAATTTCTTTTCTTGTGATTCCAGTCTACACATCACACTCTTATATCTTGAAATTATATATCAGAACAGTAAAAAATGCATGATAACTTATATATTGATATACAAAATAAAACATCTGAATAAAAGAAAAATCTGAACTAACTATATAAATGCACAATTGCAAGAAATAAAGTCAAAATTGCATTATAAATAATTCCAATTACTTTGGTATAATCCCATTGTTAAAAAATCTAATAAAACAGTCTACAGTTGTTACAAAATGATTAGTAAACTGTTGTTATGAAATATACAAATTGTTTACATATATTTACCAAGTGCAATTTAATGGAAATAATTTTTTTCTACAAATTTTTAAACATAATTCATTCATTCATTACTTTTCCTTCAGTTTAGTGCCTGACTTATCAGGGGTCACAACAGCGGAATGAACTGCCAACCACTCTGGCATATGTTTTTTTGCAGTGGATGCCCTTTTAAACTTAATATTTTTATATTTGTCTTTGCATTGTTGACAGTACATATTATTTTTAAAATTTTGCAAGATGCTAGTATTCAATTACTGTGCAATTCAAAGGTTTAACAACATTTATTATGTTAACTAGGCATGGACCTTAGTAGTTTTTGTTTTTTTATTTAAAGTTCATCCGAATCAAAATAAATAAGACTATCTCCAGAAGAAGGATATAAAAGTAAATACTGTAAAATAATGCGCTATAGACCATTTTGAGAGATGTAAACAATAACAATGGTCCTGATGTATTGTCTGTTTTACATTTTAAATGTCCATAGTTTCTGAGAATCCAAAAAGCTCAACATATTGCTAAATAATGTTACGACATCTACAGTATTATAACACCAAATATGATTGAATTGCCTCTTATTACAGACATGTAATAGTTTGACAACAAGCAGGAAATGTTCATGGGCCAATGACGTCATTTCATTGAAATGGTCTATTAAAAATCACTAGGGAAAAATTTAATTAAAAAGTAAAAATTTGGTATAGCACTGCTGCAAACTAAAGTCAGCAAACAAAGACAGGAATCAATCAGTTCTTCAATGCTAACCTTCATCTGTGCTGTCTCTAAAAGAACCGGAGCGGCTCATGCCACGTGGCCGTTCTTCCAATGAAGTGGCACTGCCGCCCAGAGGGTGTCCCTCACCATACAGCTCAAATGAATCCTGTGCTGGAATACTGTTAGAGCGGCTCATACTGGTGCTGGGAATATTATACTGAGACATACTGGTGGGGCTCACTGAAACAAAAACAGTGTACATGTATAAATGAAAAAAGAAAGCACTGGGGTTCTACCTTTGAAACATACAAATGAGTTATGAATTATGTCAACATACACAGGTTTGAGTAGTGGTATTTGCCAGCGTTGGCACAGGTTGTGCCTGGTGGTGAAAGTGGACTTCCAGTGTCCTGTAGACCTCCAGTGGAGTGAGAACGCAACCATTCCTTTCCTTCCTCGTGTGACGTCTGTCTAGAGGAGGGAGGGTACCTTCATAGAGGACAAAAAGGTTTTGGAGCTATTTTTAAAGGCTTTTTATTAAATGCTTTTCCTAAAATGAACCTAAATGGACCATTCTGTTTTTGATAAATGAACGCAACTGTTCCAAATATTGAGTCTGCAAAACTGACAGCACTAAATCTCTGGCTTTGTCAGGGTGGAAAAATGATTTATATAATAAAACTTGCTGATAATAACTGCCCACACAGTCTAACTTTCATTGTTCTGCAGTAATAGCTTCAGGCTTATCAGCATGCTTGGACGGCAGTTTCCATAAAATTAATGGAGATCTCGTGGATCTTCAGTGCTGACCCATGTTTAGCCTTTAGTATTAAAATACCATATTGTGACCTACATGATTTGCTCACATTGTGATTTAAAGCCAAAAAGAAGGTCAAATGAATGTAGCATTTCTGCAGTTCATTCTGCATGATGACTGGTGGCTCTTTGGATAAAACAGTCTGATTTAGTTTAAATGCTGTTGTTATCTCTGAATATTGAAATGCTTTGTAAGAGTATTTTATTGTATATTGTAAGAGAATTTGGTTTCTCTGTGTGTTTTTTTTTTTATTATTATGGTAAATCAACAAATTGAAGGAAAATAAAATAAAATATTTTGTGCCACTAGCTGGTGATGTAAACATTGACCTGAAGACTGTTTTTTTGTGCACAAGTTTTCAAAACAACATCAATAACAATATCGTTGGCAACACTTTAAAATAATGGTTCATTAGTTAATGTATTTTCTAAAATGAACAAACAATGAGTAATACATTTATTACAGTATTTATTCATCTTAGTTAATGTCATTCAAGTTAAAATGCAATAGTTCAAGTTAGTTCAGGTTAACTCACAGTGCATTAACTAATGTTAACACAAGCACAATTTGGCATTTTAATAATGCATTACCTATTGTTGAACTATGATTAGTAAATGCTTTACAAGATTAGTTATACTTAATGTTAGTAAATACATTAACACCTTAACAAATGATCATTCTGGAGTGTTACCGTATTATTTTCAAATACTTCCATTTTAAGTGTCATTATCAACCCTCAAAAGGACCATTATGTAAATAAACGGCCAAAACACATCAAACGTGTTCCCTTTGTCTACCAAATAATTGTAATAATTTTAAGTGGAAATGTAGGTTTAACCCTTTCAAAAAGTAACTACAAGCTGTACTCAAAAAGACACACTATTTGAGGTATATTTCCATATTAATAGGGTTAGTATTTGGTTTAAATCATTAATAGTAACACTTGCCAAACAGCACAAACAAAGAGATGAACAGATTAGGTTTGTAAGTGTCACTTGATCAAAAGCTACAAATGCTAGTTACTTGATGGATATGAGAACAGAAACAAAACATAATGATCAGAAAAATTACATCGATGGTGGTTAAATCTAGTACCTTAATCCCTTTTTGGGAAGAGTGTTTCTGTCAAGAGGCATGCTATTAAAAACAGAAGAAAAAAGAATGTTATTTACGACAAAAAGACAATTTGAACAAGATCTTATCATGACTAATAGATTTCAACTTCAAGCTAACGCTTCATTAATTTAAGAACACATCACAAAGTGATTTGCTTTTGAGTTTTTTTTCTTTTAATGGATGGCACTTACCCCTCAGACAGGGTGGACTTGACACTGCCCGTTCGGGTGACTTTTGGCCCATGGTGGTGTGGAAGCGGCAGGTCTATGGATTCTGAACTTGTGTGTAAACTGGTCATACTGTGGCAGCTCAGTGTGTCTTTACTGCCTGCAGAAGAACTGCTGAGATTTGGAGGCCATGGACGAGCATTAGAGGGCAGAGAGAGACCTGACGCCGGACTAGAGGCTGGGGAATCAGTGCCCAGGTCAGGCGTTTTGCCATACAGGGGGCTGCTGCCTCCGCTCTGCCCACCCATACTGCCCAGACTACCTGTTCCTGAGGAGGGCGAATCCAAACTAGCCTGCCGCGCCAGTGTGCCATGGGGGCTGCCCAGTGCTGAGGGGCATTTGCCAGAGTCAGGAGTGCCAGGGGAACTGGGTTTGCTACTGGCCTTACTGCCAAACAACCTGGGTAAAGAGAAAACAACGCAAAAAAGTGCTTATAAAAACTTTGCTTATGTACATTTTGCAATGAATTGGGTTGATTTCACAAACAATTTACTCAAGATTGGCTTTAATGTAACCATGCAATTTCACTTAAAAACAAAGTTTCATTACTGAGTTGCCAGCATAATTTCATTGGCCAGCTTCCAGTACTCATACAAAATCAAATCTGCTTTCAGTGCTGGATCTGCCCATGGTTTTCGCAGTGTGTCTCCAGCAATAACAGCCTGAGGCGAGGCAAGCTAAATCAGCTACATGCTTTGGCTTCATTTTGCAGAGTAACGCACCATGCAGACACACTTTTAAGTGGACATACCTAATAATACAGAGATCAGCGTTTTGGAAACACACTTACCGCATCTGCTTTAATTAACACTGGATTGAGTCTGATCTGAATGGCAAATCATGCTCCCTGAGGAGTGTTTCCATAAATGCACTTACACACCATAACCACCAGGTGGCAATCTGAGCTTCCTCTATCTTGTGTGCAACCCTCCTCTGATGTGGGAGAGAGGTGATACCACAGACTGCTAAAGCTGCGTTGTGATTTAGATTCTCAAAAATAGGTTGCATAGACGTCAGGGAGGCACAATGTTTGTGGATGTGAAGACTGTGCCAAAAACTTTACAGTGTTTTGGCTAAAAGAAGTCAGCTTTCTCTAAGTAGGAGCTAACCAGGCTGCAAAACAAGACCCCATTCTCAAATCAAATAAACAAAACTATTAAATGAATGAAAGAAAATATGAACCAGACTACATTTAAAGATAGACATTGTTATATTTTTCTGTTAGTTTTACATAACAAACCCTTGTGATGCTGCACAGTCATTCAATGATGTCCACTGTGAAATCTGTTCCTTAAGCAAAATTATTTAAGACTTTGATTATATCTATTCATCAGAGCATTTGTGGGATGCTGACAAGATTTCACATTGTTTAATGGTGGCTAGGAGGGATAAAAGTGTGAGACGGAGTACTATAGCTATGAATAAAACAATGAGCTCTATAATCCATCACACAATATCCTGGATTTCGAAGGTAAGCCTAAATTCATTGGCAGATCAAATCTGCAGTGCAGCACAGCCTGAGGCAGCACACTTCTATCTCACATACTTACAGAGGAAACCCTCCCTCAACGCTGGCCAAGAGGTCATGACATATGAAGATGAGCCAAACCACAAAGAGCAATTGTTCTTTCTTACTGTCTGCCTGTGTCAATTTGTCTCAAGCTAACTGCCTACTTTGCTTTCATATTTAGTCTCATCTCTGGCTGCATGTCATCTTTGTCTAACTTTTCTTGTCCTCCAGTTACCCCAGTCACATTATTAAGAACGAAAGTCAGTTACCTGCGGAATGTGGGGGATGCAATGTCTGGGTATTTGGAGCCTGGCTGTCTGAGTCCGGATTGGGTTGAAGTGGGACTGGATTTGGGGGAGGTGGGCAACCCCGTTCCCTCCTGATCTGACCCTGCCACTTTTTCTTTATCAGTCTGGTTGATGGTGACAGGACTAGAGCGTCCTGACCCTACTTTCCCAGTGTCTCTTCTCTTTGTGCTGGTTGGGGTTCCAACTGCAACTCCACTTCCTCCCGCAGACTTTCCACTGACATTTGAATCAATGCTGCTGGAGCTGGAACGATGGCCACTGCGGCTCACCACACTGCTTCCTCCACTAGATGACTTTGCTGGTCTTGGTAGGGAGCGATACTGGAGTGGAACCTCTGAGCCTCCACAGCCTAATAAAACAGCATCGTCTTGATGTTGAGCACCATCGAGACTCGTCTTCCGCCCATTGCTGATACCCGTGCTCTTGCCGATACAAGCAGACTTGGGAACCTTGCCTAGAGTTGCAGAACCACTAGTCAGAGTGGCTCCACTGGCTGTAATCAGGGCTCCAGCGGGACCTGGAATCTTCTTATAGCCAAAAGAACTTGTGGTAGGTGGCCGAGCAATTCCTGAGGGTGGCTTCTTTCCTTCATCTCCACTGCTTTTGCCTGCATCTGATGGAGAACGCTGAATGCTTGGGCTCTTGGGTGAGCCTTTACCCTTCTCAGATGCCTTGGCATCATCCGTCTTACCTGTCAGCAGATAGATGTTCGTTATGGCATTGGCAAGTTCTGCTTAATCATTCAATACTGCTGGCCAAGGGTTGCCAGATTTTGCACTTTTTTGCAAATAATTTCACAGCCTAATCAATCATCACCAATACAATATAAATACACTCTGCCAAACAATGTGTTCTAGCCAACAGCACTTTTATGCACAAATCAGCAAACAGCACAGTTAAGGTACTTTCTGCCAAAGTTCCTTGTTCCTGCTGAGTGTCCTAAAAAGTAGCTTTACAAAGCTTACAGATCTGCAAAGGTTGAATTAGTCAACAAAAAGACAAACACCCAATAGACCCTTAAAGTTCTCAAAATAGCTTTTTGATTTCACCTGATCTTTGAAGCTACAGTATGCAATCCTTTAGAATACCTTGCATAAAAGCCCCCTGTTGTGAGATATCACTGAAATTGGGCAGCCTTTGTTTTTTTATACAGCTAAAAGGAATCTGTCTCTTTTATGCTTCCTTGCAGAAACTAGCAGGTTACAAAAGTTTCTCATAGACATTTTGAAAGGATACCAAGTGTTTGATAGTACCTCTTCTATGAAAGTTTGATACCTGGTGTTTTAAGAGAAGTTGACGTGCCTTTGGTTCTTGGTGGTGTGATTCCAACTTGAGCACTCATGCCTCTCCTCCAGGAGCCTGTTTGAGACATGGGCAAACCTGTCTTCTGGCTAATGTCTTCACCCTGACATGAAGAGGAAGGGGATGAAGTCTTCCACTTGCAGGAAGGGTCCATCCCTGGCTCCATCTCTTCATCAACCTTCTTCAAATCCTCAGCACCAGCCCAGCTGCTAGCATCCTGCTCGATGTGTCTGTGCGTCTCTTTATTTGACTGTGAATCACACAGACACACAGAATATAGCACATGCGCTGTAATCTCACATTGGCAATCCATCTGACAGATGGCCAAATTTTTCTTACTAGCCAAAGCAAAATGTCCAAAACTCTCAGTCTGTTCAATCTGCTGTGGCCTACTGACAGACTGCTGATACGAAGCTATTTATAAAAATATGTGTGCGAGGAGAAATAAAATACACAAGACTAGAATGGATGCACACCTGAGCTGCTTTGCTCTTGCGGGACGAGATGCCGGAATATGGGGCTGGATTCAGATCATCAGTGCTGATGTTGTCTAAAGTATCACTCAAACCACTGCTGACAGAACTACTGTCATCCCAGCTGTAAAGACAAAAGAGGCATGTGTTAGCAGAAACAAAAACAAAACCAAATTGTGTGGGGTTCCTATTCACAATCCAGAAGCATTGCTAATATAGTAGATGGTGGCATACACATACACACTCTTCAAAAACAACACTTTCATTTTTCTAACATCCAAGAAGACACACAATTATATGGGAATATGTATGTAATAAAAGAAGGATTGTATTGCATCTTAGCTTAGCTTTTTTTGCTCAAATGCTAAAAATCAAATCAGTGTGAAGATAAATCAAAATGAAGATACTTAAAAGAGTGCTGGTTAATCGTACCTATTGACTTCCATAGTAACCCTTTTTCCAACATGGAAAATATGTCCCATCAATATGTAACATCAACTAGAAATCCTTAAAATATCACCTATAGTGTTCATCAGAAGAAACCATTTTGGGTGAACTATACCTTTATGTCTATATACAATATTTTAAAAAATAACATGTCTCTGACTACACGTTGAGAGCTGTAGATCCAACCATACACGTTTAGTAATGTTTGTTGTAATAACAACCAAAGTTGGCTAATAACTACTTTGGGAAATCCAACACAAAACACCAAAGCAACCATTTAAAATTTTATGTAAATAACCAAGGATGAAACCATATTAAAATCCTACTGGTCAAAAACCCTAATCCACAAATATGTTCAGATTGGCTGCAATTGTGTCACATCAAGCACTAATATTGCTTCCAGTGTTCATAAAAAAGAAATTGCTCTACTTATCATGATGTGTTTAGAAATAACACATTCACTATTGCACCCCTGTCATACGTACATTTAATTAGGACATTATGTGCATGATTTATAACCATTTTCATTCTTGTAGATATGTCCCGTTTGTGCTTTGTTTGGTTTTTCAGAGTAATATTCAGGCAATATTTAGATAAAATGTCATATTTGCAAGATTTATCTTTGATTTGAACATTCCTGACAAGAACCAGGACTAAAAATACAATAGCAGTGCACCTTGTTGTTGACTCACTGTCACCATCTTATTCATTTTAATTTGCTTAATTAGCCACTCTGTGGCTTTGTCACTTCAACTCTCATTAACTATTGACAATATTTCTTTTTCCCCCAGTCCTGACATTCTCATTCCTCTCCATTTATTAGACAGTGTTTAATCAATGAAGGATATTAAACAGTAGCTTTGACACCCTCGACTTTGTTGACCCAGTTGAGAATTCCTGACGGAAAGCTGGGTGTGAATGCATATGAAGTTATTATCACGGCCAAAAGAGAATTGTATAGGCTTGCGTAACATGGCCCAGTCAATTGCAAAGTCATTTTCTGTCTATTACAGCAGATAAATCATATGCTGATATTTATCGCCTACTGCCTTTCCCTTGTGTTGCTAAGCGAACGCTGTTTGATCACATGTGTGCCCGCATATGTCCTCACACTTAATGAATGCTTCAGATCTGATCACAGAGATCTTGTATTCATTTCTCTGATGACTCCTGGCTATCTGATGCTCGGCTCTAGACTAAATTGACAGCTATATCAACATATAATCCATTTAGACCAGACAAACAGAAACATCCTGGCATTTACCGACATTTGACATTAAACGAGATCACTGAAATATTCAAACCTCTTTCCTGATGTCAATATCTACAGTTCAATTATGCATATCGATATTAAGATTCCGAGTAATGCTCGCAGAACGACGTTGGCACAGAAAATCTGATACATTCATGTCTACCCAAGAGATGCGCCTGTCCAGCATGTTTCGTCTTCCTTTTGAAATGTTTGACGAGCTAGTAAAGATCCTCTCAACTTTTAGAATGTATGCAGGAGTGAGTGAGAGGAAAGGAAAACTTTGAGAGGCTGAAAGTGACTGGATAATAATTGTGAGAGACCCCGCAGGGCTCTTAACACCAGCATGTGGGTGTTTCTGAAGATTCCAGCATTAGAAAGAGGCTCGGTGGGAGTGAGTGTGTGCGCAATCACTCTAAAAATATCATTATTGATTTTTCAACATTCTTGTTTCTCCCTTATTTAACTCCAGGAGCACTTGACACATTAAGTTTGGAATCTGATACTGTTATACAATAATGTACTGTAAATTAAAGATTAGAGATGAGGAACTTTAAAGGCTATTATATAACATTTCAAATTTGATATTAATGCAGTGAGCTGCTAATCAATAAACAATCAGTCAGATTTATGAAATTTAACTTACATAAAAACCATACAACGAACATCGTTTTTTACTTGTAATAAAATACAGAATATAGAAATAAATTTTTTATAAATATTTTATTTAGAAATTTTATTTATAAAACATACTAAATTTCATAAATTGTCAAGACATTTATACTTTTTTAATTCAACTTGACATACTAAAATTATTAAAGCTATAATAAAATGTATTTAAAAATATAGATAAATAAAACATAAATGACAAGAATATACAAAAAAACACTAAATTTTGGACTAAAATTACAATAGAAACACAATACTTTATAAAAAATAGTAAAATAACATTATCTACATTCAAATTTACTGTGGCAGAATCTTTTTTTTAGAAAAATAATCTACAGTACAGTATGTTTAAAGACATGTCGTTTTCTACTTAACAATTTACATAAGAAATAATTGACAAAAAACCATTGAAAAATCTGAACAATATGTGTTCATACTGTTGACTGAAGTCTATTATCCAAATTAAATTCCAATTATACCACAGTTACAACAAATAGAGACTGTTCAGATGTTGTATTTTTGAGTACAGTTTAGAGTTGTCAGGTTTTTACCCTCAAATCACTTTTCAAGTTTTGAAACTTATGCAAAGCCTTCTGTTTTTATGTTGACATTAACTGACTGTAAAATAACAATAATAATAAAAGTGAAGTTAAACTATACTGTGGTAAAGATCGACCTGGAATTTTTATACTTTATATGAACAGTTCCCTAAAAATAATCACACAACACAGAATGTTCACCAGCCAATCAAAAACATTCAACATCTCTGTAGCATATATTTTATTAAACACCTTTAAAATGTAATTGTGTGACAGTTTCATAGCATAGCTGTCTCCATTCATATTACAAATATCCTTAATTATTGCTCCACAACCTCTCTATCCCATGATAAATACATCTAAATATATATACACAGTGTGCTATCTTCCTATATATTCGCTCATTTAAGTTTTTTAAGTCAAGAAATTGTGAAGTAAAATATACAGATAATCTGCATATTGAGTGGCACTTTTCAAGAGTGAAATGCCTTCAGCATCTAGTGGCTTCAGCTTTAACACCTGGATAGAGTTATTGACTTGTTGGTCCTATGATGATCTACTAGTCATCAGTTCAGACGAATGTTAAATGAAGCTTAACATTACAAGTGGAAGTGCAAAGTGTTGCAACAGACCACCTACACAAATCAATAACCACCAAATGCCATTCCAGGCCAGCTCACAATTGGCCCTAATACACACTCTGTTGAAACCTTACCTGCCTGAGTGCTTTCTAGGGCTTTCTGCCTTCTGTTCAATTGCCCTCCTACTACGCAACAGTAAACACCTGAAACTGTGCTATACTCAAGCTTAGGTGGGCATCCTTTGCCCGGTGGGCCACTTTTTGGCATGGGCTCACTAGATAAGGTCACCTTGACAGTCTTGTTTCCACACACCCTTGTACCCGCTGAGTGTGCCCACTGTTTTGAGAGAGTGACATCAGCAGGAAAAAAAACACTGTAAGAATGATGACTAAACCTGCACCAGGACGCTGCAAGTAGGAAATGGATTATTTAAAGTAAAGGGTTTGATTTTTTTTCATTTTCTCAGTAGCTTGATTTTTTCAAGTGAACATGTGTAATGCATTTTAAATATATATCTTTTGTGGCAATTGACCATGACAAATGGACTATAACAAATGTTATATATTAAAGCATATTTGGAAAAAATTAACTGAGAATGAATTCCCTCTACTGCAGTTTGAGATAACATTGCATGGCTTTCCATAAAGCAGAGAAGTACTGTAGAACAATCTGTCTGTTTGCCTGTTAACTTTATCTTTTTTTCACTTAGAAGCCAAATTAGGCAAAGGTTAAATATAATGGTTGTTCTCCTAAATATATTGATTCACTGATATTTTATTACTACTTTCGTGTTAAGCTTTTAGACTGAATTCTCTCACAGTTTATTTAGCAGAACAGACTCGGGGCGACTGCCAATGAATATCTACAGTATAGTGTTCATTATTTTTGAGAAATCAGATGATCTAGAACATGGCAGTATCGTATTTGAAAGCTAGTGTGAACAAGATGCCTTGTGAAAGACAATCAAAATAAAGGTGCAGTATATAAGTTTGACACCCGGTTGTTAAACTAGGTATTGCACTCTTAGATCAAAATAAATGCAGCGCTGCCAGATTGCCAGAGTTTCAGTAGTTCAGGTTGCCAGATTGAGGACAGAAGAGAGTGATTTAAACTGTGTTCTAAATAAAAGCAATAGCACCCGTTAGAAGGAATATTTTCCATATTAAAAGAAGTGTTTGTCCTAACCAACACCTTTAATTGATATCTTAGAAATGGCTTCTATTTCTCACCAGTGAACAACACCTCAATCACCTCAGGTACACCTTATATACTTTATATATACTGAAACACAAACTTCTGAAAACACACATGGCACATATATCTCAAAAAGGCTAGAAGTCTAACATTTTAGATATATGTGCACTTATGATCATTACACAACCATTAGAAAAACAGTATGAATGCTGGAAAGTTAAGTGCATGCCCAGTGTGCATGTACTGTGTGAGCATGTTTTTTAGGATTTACAGTGTGAACGGAGGTTGATTTTCTGAAACAGTAACAATGGCAGTAAAAAATGAAAGCGCAGTAGTGTAAGTTCAGCATAAATGCCTGTTTTAGAACAAAGCCACTCTTATACGGACCTGAATGCTTAAAAAATACAATGTTTATATATTTGTCCTGAAACTATTAGGAACTGTT